GTGTGTTTCTTGTCTGAATTCTGAATCAGAACAAAAAATTCATAATTTCTAAAACATTCTTTCATAATAAATTAGGATGTATATATATCTCTCCCCTCATATATAGGATGTCCTCTAAAAATGTACACACATTTTAACAGTTGATAGTTCAATTTTGAAAATAAAATGTATTTTAATAAACACTGCCTTTATAATTATTTAAAGCATGTGTATACATTTTTTGAGGGACATCCTATGTGTGAAATCCATCACAGATTGTTTTTAGAAAAGTCCACAAAATTATTCAGGCCTAACAAAAACGCAGTTCTTACTTGTGGAAACATCTCCAGTCCCCCTCTGTCTCATGGGCAATAATGCCTTTCTCCTTTCCAGCACGCTAACAGGATGATAGGATGTGATGGAAGGCAAGAGGGACCGAGGTCATTACTGGGAGCATCAGATTCTAATCCTGCTTTTCCATCATCAAGATTTAATTTTCTCCACGTACATAAAGCAAATGCCTTGCTACTTCCTGGGAAGTTCTGCAACATAATCACTGTTCTGGCTAAATGCAAGGTTATTTAGTGGCTCTCTGGGCACCAGGTTGACCAAGCAGACAAGTGAGGAGCCGATCACTCAGGATTCCTTTAGTGGGGACAGGGTCCTCAATAGGGAGGCTTGAAATTGTGTGACGTGTCTTAAGTGACTTGACAAGTGCTCACACTGCTGGGCAGTGAAACCTCAGTTGAAGGCTCCCCAATACTCACAGAATTAATTTTCTGAGTCACATAATCAATCATGATATATGGCTATCTGATTCCTATTTTAAAGATCATATTAGAAAGCCTTTTGCAGACCTCATTCTTATCACAGACCCTAGAATGATTTCTCACTGCCTTATATTCTTAGGAAGTTCGAAGACTTCGAAGCAATATAGTATAGTAGAGTCTGGACTGTGAGCTGGTTTTTTTTTTTTATTGTTTAAAGTATTACAAATAGTAGTACATATGTCTCCTTTTGTGAGCTGATTTTAATCCTAGAATCTTTGCTTACCTGTGTGACCACTGGCAAGTCTCTTTTTCATCAGACTTACTACAGGGTGGATCACATGAAATGACCTGCACTTAGACATCCTGTAAACAGCACACTGTAATACACAATGACGTCATAGTGAGGGCTCCTCTTGGTGAAGAGAGATGCTGGGAAGAGGTTCTTTCTATTTTGTATGACTGAGGTCTGTCCAACATTATTCCCATGATGTTTGCTTTAATTACTTCTAATGTCAGTCAGCATTGGAGCCACAGAGAGCTCTTACCTGTGACCTTTAAATCAAAAGCACGATAGTTTCATTAATATTAGACATTTGAAAATACAATATAAGCTGATCATAGACAGATGGGAAAAATTGAATGACGGAAGTAAATAAGATAATGTGAAAATATTTAAGCAGTGGGCTAAAGTGCTCAGAATGCAGACCTTGAATTCCCTGCCTCCTTTGACGCCATGGCTGTCCCCACTTGCATTCATGAATTTCCATGGTTTTAGTGATTTGGCCTTCTGCACCGCAACTTTTGTTAATTTACACAGCACATGTACATCCCTGGAGCCTTTGATAGACGTTCGCTGACCACGTTCCCAGAGAAAATCCTGCATTATGTGGCTGGGAAGTGTTGGTCAGAGCTTGTTTTCAACCAGTTTTTCATTACATGCTTTACAAACTGTAATTTCTAGGTGACGCTTCCTAGATTCAATCTCAGCTAAGTTCTGAGAAAGTTTAAATGAAAAATTCCTTTGGTACATTTGTATTACAGATAAGAGATAAACAACACCCCCACCCCTTTTTAAAAATCACACAAAGAAAAGCATCGAGACTTTTCTTCGCAGTAGCAATTTCAAATCGGCGGGGGAGGATGTTTCAATTCCACCATTCAGTTGGGAATGGAACTCAGCGGACACAGAATTGGTGGTAGAATTTTAGATATGGAAGGTTCCCTATATTTCATTTAGTCCAACCTGTTCATTTTATATTTGAGGAATTGAAGACTGGAGAGGCTAGATGACTTGGCAGAGGTCACCTAGCTCGTTAGCAGAGGGGCTGGGACCATACCCTGGGTTCCAGAACTGCAGGTCTGAATTCTGTCCAGTTCACTTCTCATTTTGAATAGAAAGCAAAACCAATCATCTATGAACTAACTCTAATAATAAAATGCTATTTATTCTGCATTTAAGAGCAAGAAGCACAAACATAATTGGGGTCCTCTTAAATTTCTCATTCATTCATTGCTCCAGGTTAAAGTTGTGGCGTTCTGTGTTTGTTGTTGTCTTTTACAGGGCACCTAATGGGGAAAAAGAGCACAGGAGAGTCCCCATATGTTTACAAGGGAGAGAGCCCGAAGTACCAGCTGCAGCAGCACATCCTGTGGGAAGAAGCTGTGAGGACTCTGCTAGGCCTCATGGAAGGAAAGGGGACCGGAAGCCACCAGTCACCTCCACAGGGCGCCCCTGGGTATTCTCCAGTCTACTCCGGATTCCGATTCCGAGGATAGCAGCAACTTTTCAGATGTAGGTTCAAGACTCAAAGGTATAAGGAACCTACTGGGGAAGTGCGGGGAGGGCGTGGAGGGAGAGGGAGGTATTTGGGGAGAGTTGGGAGGAAAGGTTGAACCGGAGAATAAAATTGTTTACAGTGCAAACCTTCACAGCCACTGCATTAGGCCAATACCAATACACGCTAAGGAAATTAGTAGACAACTGCCACACCATCTTTTCTTTTCAATGTAATAGATTGCTTTTCCTCTTGGCACATCAGAATGCTGTGGTTTCAAAACTCCAGTTTAGGGGTTTTACTAGGAATTGTGTGTATTAGCAACTGTGCACGGATGGGATGTTTTTAATCTGCCAGGCCCAACCAGAATATTTTGCTAGTGAGGCCATCTTTGAGTAAATCCCTGTGGGTCTACAGATAGAGTGTATTTTTGATGGACACGGGAAAGAGCCTCTTCATAGATGTTTTTAGAAGAAAGCATTCTTATCTGTGACCTTTTATGCAAAATGACACTTCTTCATTGTTGTTCCAAGGTTACTGAGTTCAGGGTTCATCCTAATATTTCAAAACTTGTTGAACATCCCTAAGGGCAACTGATTTGTCCTGTATATGATTTTATGGAGGACAGAGAACAACAATTCTACCAAACTGGCATTGGTTAGATACAAGAACAGTCAATGAGTTAAAAGAGAGAAGAAAATGTGTAGGAAGAAGATGAAGCAGCTGAAAATGAAGTGATTCTCATTAACTGTTAAGAAGCTTCCATGAAATTTATGATAAAAGGCAAAGATAATTGGAATACTAGAAATATTAATAATAGCCAATTTTATTGAGTGTTCACTATACTCTAAGTACTGGGAGAAGCAGTTGATCTCCATTTGATCTGTTAATACCCACAGCAATCTTAGGAGGAAGATTCAGGAAAATTCTATTCTTCTCTCCATTGTAGAGTCTCCGTGAGGAAACTGAGATGGTCACGCAGCTGTTCACTGGTAAAACCAGGACAGGAGCCTGTGCTGTCTGCCTGGACAGTGCGCCGCCAGGACAGACATCTTCTGAGGCACTGTCCATGGTGATATTACATAGGAAGGATGCGGGATGCAGTAGCGCCATGCTCCTCCCCTTTTTGATAAGAAACAATACTGACTTTCCGTCACAGAGCTCGGGAGCTGGCTCCTTCACTTTCCATGGTGGCCCATTCTTTGATTGATGGTCCCTCTCCAGAGGCTCGGGCTGGCTTTGCCAACCCTCAGTTTATTCTCCGGAGGGAGCTCTGTGCTTTGCTGCCCTTTGGTCCACTGTAGATTTTTTAGGCTCAACTCAAAACAAAAATGCATTTGTTGCATTAAGCACTTAGAGAGAATGTCTCCAGAATCTTTTATTCAGAAAGAAAATCTGGATTAAGTCAACCAATACAGAAATAAGTAATAACTCCATATAAAGCCTCGAGTGATTCTCTTGCCCACACCTGTATGATACCAGCTTCGTGTGTGTGTGTGTGTGTGTGTGTGTATCACAGGGCTCTGCGGGCTCTAAGGACTCTAGCAATTAGTGACTGACTTCTTAGCTTCTGGCTGGACAGACTTTTTCTTGGACAAGTGTTTTGTGGGACATCCCGTGGATGGATGGCCAACAGCAGTGCCTTCTCTTTTGTCTGAAGAGTAATACCAATCACCACTATGAAGCCCTCTAAAATAATTTCACAAACACTGACATAGACTTACCTTCATAGCTCATTCATAAAATACACACACAGTCATGGCATTCATCTGTAGTGTCTCACTTTTGAATTAAACAGCAATATCCACTTTGAGTTTCTTTTCACCCCAAACCAGGCTCTGCATAACTTTGGATTGTTATGAAAATTCAACTCCTTCCTTAAGGATGGAAACTTTCCCATCATAGTCAGAAGACTTCTGTAAGCTTGAAGGCAATTACCAAAGAATAGCTCCAATAAGGTCTCTGAGGGGCAGTGGCGTGGGATGGGTTGAGTGGACCATCACAGAGAGTGACTGCTTCAAGGGGTCAATATTTACCAGTATTCAACATGATCTGAAAAGTCAACTTGATTTAATCAGGCCTGATTTTTCTACTATATCTGTTTATGCCTTGTTCTTGTTACAAGTTTAGAAAACCCATCCTGTTTCAGTCCACATCGAGTTGAATAATTAGCTATTGTAAACATTGCTACCATTCTTTTGACTATATTTCCTGATAATATGAAAAATGAATTCAACAGTTTTTTATGTGCATAGACCACACAGCTTAGAGCTCCCTTGGCTTTGGAAATTCCACCTCAATGAAAGTATGCTGTCATAAAAATTGAGAACATCTTATAATTGTCTTATTCACAAAGAGGGCATGCCAAGAAAATTGTTTCTATTAGAAATCCATATATCTCTCCATGTTAGAAGGAAGTTTAGTAACTTAGCTAGGCATTACCAGAATTAGCAGCAGGAGTTCTCAGAGGTGAAGGACTTGTCTTAAAATTAGTAACTATCCACATATGCTCTCCTCTCCCCCTTTGGTAAAAAGACATCAAGGCCCATTGCCAATTCTCCCAGAGCTGTAGTTAGAAATGCTGAGCATTTCCTAGGTTTTGATGACAAGGATATTGACTTAATTCAGAAAAGATCTGTGCAAATGTGCACTGAATCTACTAGGTAGATACGATGTCATGGCAAACAAGCTCCAGAACTTTATCAGAAATTATGGCCAATCATTTTCAAGGTTAAACTTAATTTTCTTTTAACTATATCCTTCTTACAAAAATAAATGGAACTTTGATGCTATGGTTTCTATAACATAAAACAGTGTTTAGGTTGGCCAACTCCAGGGCCTAATCCCTAATCCTGCATGTGGTTGTGGATTGTCCTGAGTTTCAGTAAAGGTTGAAGTTGGTCTTTGGGTTCCTCTTGTGATTTAGACCCAGTTCATTATTCTTTGTAGCCTTATGGTTTTTTTCTCTCCTATTTGGTGGACAGGAAAGGGACTTGAGGAATGCGTTGCCAAAGCTGTTATGGAAAGGAAGGAAATGTTGCACGTTTGCCCTCACTTTTAAGGGACTGCTCCCACTGTCCCATCAAATTAGTACAGAGAATAGAAAAGTTTTACTTATTAATATGTGAACTGCTCCAAAGGAAGCTCCAAATATAGGGAAAGCAACATGCAACCAAAAAGAACTAAAAATCCTCTGACCACCCTGACAGTTTCCACGAAGGAACAGAGGAATGTTATCCTCCTCACACCCCTCCTACCTCTAGGTCCTCGATCTTCCTGGGGGACACAATTTTTTTCCTTGTAGCTTTACTTCATCTCCATGAGCCAAACCACTCAAATTTAATATTTTACACCAATGGGAGGACTTCTATGGATTATTTCCCACATCCTCAGCTGGTCCCTTTTATGACCTGTGGCTCATAATGCCAGGTGGGTAGCAGCATCTTCAGGCAGGTTGGCGACCCTTAATAGTGCATCCTGGGCTCATGGAGGAGAACAAAGCTAATTGGCTTGGGTGGGAGTTGAACCCCAGGCCCTGGCCTCATTGGCACCTGGCCAAGCATTGAGCCATAGAGCAGGTAATTTCTGTTATGAGAAAATCAGTTTTGTTATTAGGAACAAAGGGCTGGTCTGGATGCCAGAGAACCTGAATTTCCAGAATTATGCTCTTGAAAAGCATAATAAGCTCTAGTCTGGATGAAAAGTGTTTTCTTACCTCAGTGTGTAAAGGCTGCTTATAGGGGAACAAAAAAGGGTTTTTTAAACGATAGCTTTTCATTCTTCTTCAGTCTTAGTTAATTTGAACTGAAGCCACAACAAGCAAACCACAATAAATGGAAAACTGGCAGAAACCCAAATAGGCTTGTCTTCCCAAGTTGCTCACACTGCTACCACGTATATTCATGGGTTTATGATATATAATTGTGTAATTCACAAATTGATTCATGTAATGAGGTATTGCCAAAAGAAGCCAAGTAAGAATTAAGGTTCCACATTCCCTAATAGTCCCCCTAACCAGCTGCTATTTAGTCACAATTCCTGGGGATAATACATTTAATTGTTAACATTAGCCAAAATATATCAGAGTGCAAGTTAAGCTGATATAACAAAAAGACCCCAAAAATATAGTGGCTCCCAAAAGAGAGGAAGTTTGTTTCTCTCTCGGGACAGCTATGGTTTTGGAGCATTAACATGCTCACTCAGAACACCTGAGACTCGTGAAAGCACAGGTTGCTGGGCCTCACCCCGACTGGTTCCAATTCAGTCTGTCAAGGTGACCTAGGCCCTAGGAGTTTGCCTTGCTAACTAGTCCCATGTGATGCTGATGGTTTGTTGGGAATGGAGTTACATCAGTATAACTAACTACATTTGCTTAACTCTTTCTAATGTTTTTTTATGGTGCTGATCTCTCCGCTCCAGGTTCTCAATGTGAAGGAAGGAACCCCCAGCTGAACCGACAATGACGGCCTCTCTCAAAGAAGCAAAACAGAACCCTTGAGAATGCATTCCACAGGCATCAATTCTACTGGCTCATCCACCAGATTTCCTTTGTGCAAAATACTTAACTATTCTTGTATCTTTCAACCTTGACTAAATCCGTGGTTTTCAAGCAGCATCTTCTGGTTTGAAATTGTCTTCTGTGAAATTATTGTCCATAAAGAGTCTTCCAAGTAATGCTCTTGGAATTTAGCCTCTGTGTCAATTACCTTCCAGTCTCTGACCTGTTACCATTCACAATAAAAGCTTAAACACACCGTCCAAAGGGCAGGTAGTTTTATTTCAATTCCTAATGAGAGGACAGTGTGGCAGAGATTAATAAAAAACTTGATAATGAACTTGTGTGCTCATTGATGAAGGCTGAATTTTGAGTTCTCCCTTCTGAAGGCCACTTACTGAATCCTTGCAGTGACTTACAGACTTTCTAGAGCAGTGGTTCTCAACCTTGGCTGCACATTAGAATCACCTGGGAATCTTTTTAAAATCCTGATTTCTGGGCCTCATCCTCCGGAAATTCTGTTTCTTTGTTATGGGGTGGGGCCACAACATTAGTAACAAAGAAACAGAATTTCTAGAGGATGAGGCCCAGAAAGCAGGATTTTAAAAAGATTCCCAGGTGATTCTAATGTGCAGCCAAGGTTGAGAACCACTGCTCTAGAGGCTACTGCTAGAAGCTCATCCTCTGTTATTACCATCAGATGGACTAAGTTGAAAGTGAGGCTGGCCCGATTCACCACTTAATGGTTACCATTTCTTTAGGCCTAACCATGACCAGAAACTTTGCCAAGGTTATTGATATTCTCCTTATAGCAGTTTGATAAGCCAAGAATAAACATTGTCATCCAATAGATAAGGAAACAGAGGGTTAGAGAGATCAAGTGACTTGTTCAAGGTCACATCATAGATGGAACTGGGATTCAAACATCCAAAGTCACTAGATTTTTTTTTTTGCACTATTTAATGATTTCTACACTACCTCATTTTAACCCCCCCCCTTCTGTATATTTAAGTAGCACCATTTCTTCAAATTTCATTTTTGGTCTTGGAGAAAATGAATTAAGGAGATTCCCTTACATTTTCAGAGAACATGGACTGGCAGCTCATAATGCTCACCAGTCCCACTTTTATCATGACATTCTCATGATGTTAACAGATTTTCGAGCTTCTTGCCATATGCTCAGATTTCTTTCATTTAGGGAAATTGCATTCAAAACAGTAAAGATATTTATCTTGCTCTGTTTTGATTATCAAAGAACCACATAAGATGTAATGTGTTCTTTTTAATTTCTTTTAAAACCATGCTGATTCTCAACAGAGCCAGACCTGGGGAAATATGTGAAATGTGCTTCAGCATCTTACCACCTTTCACTTCTGGGACTCACCTGGGTCTCTTTCCCAAGAACTCAGTCCTGAGCGGTGTTAACTAATGTCTGCCATGTGGGTAATGATGGAGAGGTAAACCCTGTCAGAAGGATTCTCCCTCCAAAGGACATGCATCGTTGACACTTCCGGCGGGGAGAGGAAGGCAGTGCCCTAGAACAGCCCCATCTAGACAGCCACTTGTTTGGTTGTCTCCTGAGAGTAGATGTGATCCTATGTTTTAGCTGAAATCATTTTTTCTTTATGAGTTCTGACCGAGAGACCGGAATAGCTCACCCAAACCTTCCGACCTTGCAGAGCTCCTCTGTACCAAGCCCAGGTCATGATTAGAATCTCTTAGTGAAGAGCTTTCTTGAACCCTTGTTTGCAAGTGAAGTCTTGTCATATATCTGTGTGTGCCTGCCGGGTCAGGCCATTTTTAGCTGCAGATAACAGAATCTATCAGCTTGGGTTAAGTAGGAAAAGGACTTTATGAGAAGATAGTAGTCAGGGAAGACCAGGGAAATGTTCTCAAGGCTCAACTTGCAGGTTCAGTGCTTAAAGCCAGACCTCTGGTTGGGTTAATGAGATGGCAATTGCATACACTGCTCCCCGTAACACATTCCGCACAACTGCTTGAATTGGCACTGACTTTCAAGGCCTCTGTCATAATCTCTGCCCATAGTATTATACCCCCAAAGCCTTGGCTCACTTCCAAATCAGCCTTCAATGTCTATATCTGATTTGTGGAACCTGGGTCACGTGCCTGTATCTAGCTGTGAGGAAAGCTGGGAAATGTAGTTTTTAAGATTCTACCTTGCTAGGATCAAACTGAAATTATGGGACCCTAACAAAAAGAAGAGATGGTGTTCAAAAAATTGGTCAGCCACAAATAACAGGTGTCTTCTTTCCCTTTTGCCCCTCAAAAGAATTTCCTCATTGATTTCTGTCCATTGCTATTCTAGAGAACAGTTAATACCCAGCTGGGGATTCTGGGAAAGCAGGGCCAGGTGTGTGCACACAGCAAGAGCAGAAAATTACTTTTAAGAGGTAACAATACTTAGAAATCCTTGCAGCAAAGCAGGATAGTAAGGAGGGAGAATCCAAAAGGGAAGGAAGCAATATCACCTTCAAATCTGTTCTTTTAAAAGCACAGTCTTTTTTTGTTGTTGTTAAGTGCTACAGGGTAATCTGGCAGTCTTTGCTTACGATCAGAGGCTCAGTGACACGCCAAGGAGGCATTTCAAGCAGCACAGTATAATTGCCAGCCCCACAATGCCCACCTTTCAGGTCCTACTGGGACTATTTGATGTTTCCAGAGCATTTTTATCCAGCTCTAATGCGCAGGGAGTAATGGAAGTAAAACATGGGGTTGACATTATTCATCTTCCCAGCCACCGGCTGCTTTATAGACAATGAAATAGCGCTACCGGGGCAACCCACAACGATGAACGATTGCCATTCCTAGAGCAGGATGGAGGCCATTGCGTGCACTGGAAATACTCCTAGCGTCCCCTCCTGAGGCTCCATGTTTTTCTGTGCTTAGCTTATTGGCCATTTGTATATCTTTTAGGAAAAATGTTTTTTGAAGTCATTTGCCCATTTTTGAAGTGGGTTGTTTTCCTTTGTTGAATTTTAGTTCTCCCTATACCCGTGGTCCGCAAACTGCTGCTCGCGAGCCACATGCGGCTCTTTGGCCGCTTGAGTGTGGCTCTTCCTAAGCCTTAGGAGTACCCTGATTAAGTTAATAACAATGTACCTACCTATATAGTTTAAGTTTAAAAAATTTGGCTCTCAAAAGAAATTTCAATCGTTGTACTGCTGATATTTGGCTCCGTTGACTAATGAGTTTGCCGACCACTGCCCTATACCTTTAGCTGTTAGTAAAATTGGTGTAAAAGATTTAAAATACCTACTCTCTCATATACAAGAAATCCTGAGGGAGGTGGGATTCAGGGTCGTTTCATTCAATTTAATTCGGCGACTCCACTATTTCTTCAAGCACGATGGGTTTCCATCTTGCCGCTCTGCCACCAGGGTTCAGGTGTGACCTTAAGGCTGATTTCTCTCATGGCCGCAAGAGGGCTGCCGAAGCTCCAGGTGTCACATCCAGATGAGACAACATGCAACAAATCAAAGAGGTCATCACTTTTTAGGCTTCGCCTTATTAATAGTGCTGAGTCCTTTCCCAGAAACCTCTAAATCCCTCACACCTCAATGAGCAGCTGAGTCACAGGCTTGCCCCAAACCTATCACTAACCAAAGGGAACTAGACCGCTGACCTCACCAATTAGGATTTACCAATGAGTCATGTGGGAGGAAGGACAGAAACCTAAACAAAATCAAAGCTCCCTGAGTAAGGCAGGAGCGTGAAATTGATTTGGGATGGACATCCAACTGTGACTGCAACCAGCATGAAAGTCATTTCTTGTGACCTCACCCAGTATAGCAATTTCAAAAATTAGTCACTGCTATTAAGTGTGAACATATGGGGTTTTATCCATTCTCAGATGCTCGTGTAAAGTCCTTTTGATAGTTTTAAGACCATGAGTTCTTAAGGGCAAGGAGTTATCTGTTTCTCTTGCTAGAAGCACTGATGCTGTGATTTGCTTTGGCAGGCTGCTCCTCTCTCTGGTCTGGGCCTCTTTCATCCATTACGCCTTTCTTAGTCTTTCAAGACAAGTGGCTGTTACTGTAACAACATAATTGTTCCTCTGACTCTACTGCTGAAATAAACAGAAGTGAAAAGGATATAGAGAGCTTCAAATTATGCTCTCCTCTGCCCAACAACTTCCCAAGATGCCTCAGCTATAGACAGTCACATGGACAACCGACATGAACTTTAATTTAAAATAAAGCCTGAGTGTAGTCCTTTCTTCCCACTTAACTTCTGAGGATGTGGGAAACAAGAAAAATGGGTAACGTGAAAAAACCATTTACTTAGTAGTCAGGAATTGGCTGCCTGCTGGTCAGATACTACCTGTAGAGGTGCTGCTTGCTTGGACAGTTTTTTAAAAATTAGAACTAGCCACAGACATTTAAAAAAAACAAGAGATTTCACATGCAAATCCAGGTTGCAAGTTTTTGCAAAGTTAGAAGACCTGCTCTTGGGTCTACTTTCCCTGAAGACAACTAGTACCCAACAGTGCCCTGTAGATTTGGCCCACATTCTCCACTTTGCCACAGTCCCCATCACACCCTAGTGATGCCCCTGCCTGCTTTATTTGTTTATATGATCTGCCTGCCCACTCTAGGCATTGAGTTGGTGGTCCTCATTTAACTGTTACATATGCCAGGGATAAGGGAACTACTCCATGGTTTGTTCGACAATATATTGAAACTAGAGGCTTGGTGCACAAAATTCATGCACAGGGAGGGCAGTCCTTCAGCCTGGCCTGCACCCTCTCCAATCTGGGATCCCTCTTGCAATCCAGGACCACTGGCTCCTAACCGCTCACCTGCCTGTCAGCCTGATCCCCCTAACTGCTCTCCCCTGCTGGCTTGATCCCTAACTACTCTCCCCTGCCAGCTTGATCACCCCTAACCACTTCTGCCTCAGCCCTGCCACCATAACTTTGTCCAGAAGGATATCCAGAAGGTCGTCCAGAAGATGTCTTGTCTAATTAGCATATTACCCTTTTATTAGTATAGATTCCTGCTCACACTTGTGATTCTCTTGTCTAATTAGCATATTACCCTTTTATTAGTATAGATTCCTGCTCACACTTGTGATTCTCTGGGTGCGTGTGCAGTGTTTTAGAAAGGTGTTTGCCACATAATATTTGCTTCCCTGGCCAACTTTGAAGATTCACCCCTTCCCTGCTGGTCATTGGATTAAGGAAGGAAGACTGTTGAAAAAGAGGTGAAATTGCTAGGCAATGCCATTCACTCTGAAATGCTGCTGGTGAGCAGTTCTTACTATGTGAACAGAG